GGGGGGGGAAGGAGCATCCCTTAAAACACTGACTGAAGCTTATGCTACATGCAAAATTCTCAAGTTCTCAAAAGAACGATCATGGTTTCAAGAAAAGCTGAAAAATAACACAAAAAATTCATTCAGTCTTTCAAACTGGAAGATGCAATTAACTATATTAATTCTCATGTGGAGGAAAACAAATCTTCCCCACCAAAACTATAAGGCATGGTCTCTTTACTGCAGCCTCAGTTACATCAGTACTCATTGCTGACCGCCGTTAGCTTGATCAGTGGCATCCAGCACTTTTCCAAATCCTTTGACACTTTTTCTGTGACAGTGGTAGTGTAAATAGCAAGTACCTGTCTGAATGGCCAGATATTATGGTCATCTCTTCCTACACCGCTGTGCGGTCCACCAGTCTCTCTGGTTCATCACTCATGTACAGACATATGAAGATGGCCTACCTGAATTACAAGTACAGTACAGTTGTTAATGGTCACACCTCATTCATAATTTTAAAAATTTTCACTTCTGAAGTTTTCAGTTGCAACATTTGATTCTGAGTTTTGATTAAAAGGGATAAAGACACAAGTTGGCAAACATGTTGCTAATACTGTCCTGAGGGAAAAATTCCTTTCTGATTTCTGAAACCTGTTACCTTCTTAGCCATATCATACCTTAGAAGTGCACTGTGAACTGTATCATCATTTCACAGGCAAGCACAGGAAAAATCATTAGGAGACATGTACCAAACATTAAGAACTCCATACTCATTGACCCAGGCACAAAAGACAATCAAGTTTCCTTTTCTTAACAGAGCCAGCTAGTGTCGAGCCCATGCGTAACCGAGACAGATGAGGAAAGGTGGTCTCCAGAACGTGCACACTGAACTCCTTACTGTAGTCTCCTCTGCCAGCTCAAACGTTACACACAGAGATAAGGAAAGCAGTTTAACTTGATCCATCAATGATCTTCTGAAAGGTAGCACCTTAACAAACAGCTAAGAGTATTAGCCACTGCGTAGGATGAAGCTGAACTGATGAATGTACTCTGAAAGTGGACACAGAAGCCCATGAGAACAGACAACAAACTGCAAGAGCAGGCATTTCAGGATCCGGACTCTCTATGGCATTACTGGCTGTGAGCCACTTAACTCTCATGTACTGTCTCTTCCGTCTGTAAACCAAGGAATTACATGCTTTCACTTTTTTATCTAAATACTAGGCTGTGCTGCTTTGCATGTCCTCATAAAGCAGTTCTGGACCTCAATCTCAGCGGTAAGCAACATACCTCCCCTGGGTGCTCCATCCATTTCTGTCCAGTGGACGCGGGATAAAGTGAAGTCTTCCAAATTCTAATAGGGTTCTTTTAAATTCTATTTGAATTTAAGGTAAAGAATATTTATATATATAAATATATATGTATATTTAATATATATGCATAAAATCATCTGGTTTAACTTCCTAACTGTTTTAGGCTCTGAATCCAAATACTACACTTAGTACCACTCAACCAAATATTTATCCCAAGTACTTTCTTTAGTCCAGAAATGTCTACAAAAAAAGGCAAGAGTTCACAGAATCACTTAAACCCATTGCTCATAATGAGTAGGTAGGATTTGATCAGCCATTAAGTAAGCGAACCTAACAGGTGAAGAGGCTAGTGAGCTTTGCCTCCCCTCCACCAAGTCCCTACCAACCTGACCTGCATTTAAATGCCCACTCAGTAGTAGGTGGCCACTGTTAGCATTCTAAGCACGTCTGGAAAATACACCAGCTAAAGCAGAATTCAAGGCAATATATTAATGGTGGTCTTACAGTGCCACATAAGTTGAAGTAAAGATCTTATGTATTTGTCTACTTCATGCTCTCTTTTGTATAAGGACTGCATTAGCCCTTTTGCCATGGAATTATAATCATCACAGACGACCCCCAAGTCTTCCTTGGAATCACAGGACAGCTGAGATTGGAAGACTCCTCTGGAGATCGCCTTGTCTAACACAGCTATAGTTTTACTATGATTTGACCACTGAAATATGCAACAAACTGTACAGCACTTTCATTACATATTTCTCCACTATTCCTTTGCATAATTTGAAAAATATAGTAGCAAAACTGTCAATTGTTAGGGGGTCACGAATATAAGGTAGACCCACTACCTGTACTCTTTCTCATCCTATTAAAAGGGCATTTTTAATCTTGTGTGTGTCTCAATTCCATAAAATCAAAATACTGTTGAAGTAAGTTAGGGGAAAAAAAACACACACATACACAGAACAGTTTAATATAGCAACATAGGCCAGGCACATAATTGTATTTAAAAAAGAAAAAAGAAAAAGAAAAAGAAGCTTTGTCTTACAAAGCTTCCCTATCATGATGCCATAATGACTGTCATTAATTTTATTTTTATATATATATATATATTCCTGTTTATAAATTTGATATATATAAACATACACACACACACTTTTTTTTTTTTAAAAAGCTTTTAAGTGTTCACTGACACAAGTCCAAATTAACCTCTACTTTACTATTTTGTCCAGGGCTAAATCCGCCATGACATCCTTTTTGCCTCTTAAATATAGAAGCTTTTTGGAAGTCTTCCAGTACTTTGAAATATGCACAGTTTACAAGATATACAACAATTAACATGAGTGGTTCTAGAGGATCCTGAGACAGTTCTCTAAAGATCCTATGATGTGATGTCTAGATCTGTTTATTTTAATTTTTTTATTTAATATTTAATTTCAGAAATCACTCCTTCACCATCTTTAGCAAAGTGGATGTGAACTTTCTATTCCAAACATAAAATGAGATAGAAGAGGAGAAAACAGAATGAAGTATGTAAAAAGTAAAACATTTAAAATATAACTACATTAAAATAGCACAAATTTATGCTTAATTATGTCTAACAGCATTGATCGTTTTTTATGAAACGCACACACACTGAAAATGACCATTTCACCCTGCAGACGGTTGCCTTGGAGTCACAGGACTAGATGCATTAGATACAAAGATCAGAAGATTATGATGTTTATATGCCTGAAAGTTGTTATCTCTTCACTTTTCAATTGTATGTTAGATGATGTATTTCCACATATTTCTCCAAATGACAATGTTTAATGTTTTACTTCAGTCTTCACAAAAAAAACTTAATTATAAGATTCTCCATACCAATGCATTTGTCAGAGAGCTTCCAAGCTTTCAATGGGACAGGGGAGAAAGAAGATAATAGAATATTTATAAAAATACATATACAAGCTGACAAAGTCTGAAGTATTTTATCATTAGACACTAAAGGAAATATTTGAAAGAGTTCCTGAATCACCTGCAATTATCTTCAAAAGCCCACAGAAGACAGGAAAGTTCCCAAGGACATCCAGTGCTAGCGCAAAACCTATCCTAAAAGAGAAGGAAAAGGAGAAACAAGGAGGTTACAGACAAATCATCCTCACTTCCATACTAGTAGGTTACCTGAAGAAATGTTTAAACAATCAATCTGTACACACCTAGACGAGGACAGGCCACTCAAGGGTGGAAAAAAATCACATCAAACTAATCCGCTTTCCTCCTCTGACAATAGCTAAGAGGAAAAGGTAGGACTTTTCCTACGCATCTTGACTTTAGCCAGGCTTTTACACTATCCCACACAACATTCTTAAAAAGCAGAAGGCGGAAATACAATTTAGGTTATGCCACTATAATGCATGAATATCACAGGACAAAAAAAACACTGCACCGTAGGAGTAAGTGCCGCTAGTTCACTCCGCAACTGGCAGAACATTTGAAATGGGCAGGCATCTGTCCTCACTTCAGTACGCTTCAGTATTTTCACTAACAGCTTGCTGAGTATGCCCTTAAAACTTCAACAGGTTACACCGTGCTCTGGGAGGTAGCGCAAGCAAATACTAGAATTTTTAGCAGATCTTCGACGAGGTGCCATCTCCGATGGACAGCCTGAACCCTAAGAAAGAAGTCGTTTAACAATTAGATTGCTAAATACTGACTCTCAGTCCCTAGGAAGTTTGTAAAATCTAATTAGTTGTTTTCAAGCACTAAGTCAGGGATGGTTCAAAGAAGTTTCATCCTGCCTAAAAACACCAGGTGAACAACTCTCAGGATGCCTTCCAGATCAAATTTCTGCAACTCTGGTGTAGCTACAGATCAGAGGATCTGCACTATGGTGAAGGGTGGAAGTGGTCTGGGGTGGGGAGCAGGTGCCTTCACAAAAGCTAGAGGAAAAGTAATGCAGCAGAAGCCTGAAACACAGGCAAAATTAGGAGATATCTTGAAAGGAAACACTTAAAAGCAGGAGCTGATGCCAAAAAATCTGCAGAAGCCACATCAGCGAAGCAGCACCAAGGTCCCGGTGCTGCCAAGAATTGCATCTGCCCAGACGACCTTCTGTCCTCACGGATCTCCTGCTAATCTTCACCATTTCTGTGGCCCAGACCTCAGTTTTTCTGTAGTGAACCTAAATGCCATAATAAAAGAACACAGAAGTATTTCTCCGAATAAAGTTTATGCAATTGTCCTAATCAATATGCAAGTTGTTCTGCAAAGAGACATAGCTCAGCCCACTGTTTTTAAACATGTAAGCTTTTTAAGAAGTTATCAGGGAAGTAGCCAAATACTCTTCTCCAATAGCTGTGTATACACTGTGGTTCCTCAGTAGCCAGTTAGAAAAATGTAGAAATAGTAATAATTTTTTTTAAAACACACAATAGCATGGATATGATTTTAAAAATGACAGCCAAAAGGAGCAGTACTACGATCTCCTAGTTATATTTTTGCTAGGTTTTAGTGTCAAAAGGCATTTAAATGATGACCCCCTTCTCTGAAGCTGATTAATTATAATGCGCTCCATTTGGGTAGTAAGATTCAATACCCTACTATCAATTAAACAAAAAGCACACTCTTGGCTTACGATTAAAAATTGAAATGTTGCCAAAAAAAGTTCTTGCCTTGTATCTTTCACACATCACAAAAAGTATCTATTAGGGCACAGTAAGATCTCCAGAAAAACCTCAGACTTTCAAAAAGATGTTATTTTGTATATGTGGCTTAGCTACAAAGTCGAAACAGAAATGACAACAGAGCTTAGGAAAGTAAGCCTTTTTGCCAATGAATTTCTTGTAAAGTCAACAATTATAATTTATTCTGATCCTTTGTGTCACCATATTAGTAGTTATTTTTCAGCAATCCCAGAGCAGCAACAAATAATGCCATAGAAGAGGACTGATATAATTACATGCTGAAAAAGATAGGCCAGCACCCTTACACTCAAAACTACCCTCTGTGGCTCCTTCATACCCCATATGTTGCTAATAAAACTGTTTGAATCATACCTATGAGACAGTTTTACTGATATTGTATCAGGTCCCTAGGTTCTTTGTATGAGATACGATGTCACCAGAACTATAACTATGCAAATTTTGTGATACAGGATCCCACTGGACACAATATTACATACGTAATTCGCAGTATGAAGCTGTGCATTAACAATAATTCTAGTGTTATATAAATGAAACCACTAAGTTTACTGAAAAGCTCACTACACTACAGTGAAATCAAATTTAAAAAGCAATAAAAAGCAACTGACATGTTCATAGTAAAGATGGCAGCATTGGTATTTTTCCTGAAACATAACATAAATATTACTTTGGGTTCATTTGATAATGCTTTACAGAAAGTTTTAGCGCTGACACTAAATAAATACAGGTCAATGTTCCTCCTCCCCCAACAATATTAATTAAGGGCTTAAACCTAGGAATCTTCTGAGCCCAATTTTCAGGAATAACCATGCAATTTTCAGTAAGTCAGAACTGTGTTCGGATATAACTTTGATTCTCAGTTTCAGCTAATTATTTATTAAAAAATGGTAAGTATTAAAAATGGCAGCAATAAAGAACAGCAGCTTGGGGATATTATCATGTGTCACACTGAAGCACTATGAAGTATCATCATCTGGTCAAAAGACACCTGCGTTCCAGCTCGGGCTCTTACTTCAAATATCTATATGACCTCAGGCAAATGATGTTTCTCTCTAGCCAGCATCATGTGAATTAGGATCTCTTATCTTTTCCTGCATAAGAATATGGTCAGTGCTTTATAGACCTGTAGAAAGACACGTCTGTCTTAAAGATCTTAAAAATCAATGTAGCCATCCTCAAGAACAGAGCAGAGGTGTAAATAAAAACTTTGACAGCACAACAAGGCTTGATACACGTTCTTCTTTTTTGTGTTTCTAGTGATTCTTCCCCCCAAACATTTTAGGGATCTGGAAGGTCCTGGGGCTTGCAGAAAGTAGTATATATTTGTTTTTAAATCTAAAAAACGTTAAGACACTAGCATTATAAATTGACTTTATAATTCAGTTTATAGAATGGTAGAGATCCAGGCTTAGGAAGAGGGAAGCAAACTCTTTCACACAGGTGCTGTGAACATTAATAAGCCCAATAATGTCATAAAATACTAGGCACAGTAAATTCTCTAATATGGAGAGGAAAAAAACATACAGCTCAGTAGTCCCTTGAAATACTTGGAATGCCTTTGACTACAGACAGAAAACATAAGTGACACACCACAACTAGCTAAGAAATCTCACGCCGAGAACTACTGACTTTAAGTGATGCAAACTTCTATTCAATGGAAGTAAAAATAGAGTTCTAATCCTGCACTCAGTAAACAAGATGAAATATATTTATAAGAAACAGGCAATTCATCATATGTTTCTACTACAGAGGAATTGCTTAAAGCAGTAACTTTACATGAAGTTTTCCTTGATGTCAGACTAAATCTATATTAGTTTTATTCTCCATTAAAACAAAAAACCTTAGGTGACATTTTATGAGCTATGAAGTTTGCACTGTATTCTCTAAACACTCTGCACTCTGGTACTGGTGCTGACTTCTATTATCATACAATTCAGAGATAATTATATACCTATTTTCAAAGTTTGAAAAAATAAAACCCCCCAAATATGGCACAAAGCTGTTAAAAAGTAACCTACTTTTAGAAAAAAAATCACTTACGCACATACTTAATTTTAACTCTCACTGACTTCAGCATTTGCATAGTGAGACAACTCCACGCTCCAATTCAAGTGAGAACATAAATGCTTTGCTGATTCACAGCCAAAAGCATGACAGGACCACCATTATGCTAAATGCTGACAGAACTAAAAAATAAAATAATAAAAAAAAAACAGCAACCCCACCCTCAAAGAGGGTATCAGAAACCCTGTAAAACTCACAACTTCTGCATAACTGAATATATGAATTCTATAGCTAAGATGCATTTAAATGAAAATTCAATGTGGGCAGAAGAGCTTCTGGGAAATGCATTAGCAAAGATGAGGTTATACAATCCCTGTTTCTCCAACCTAGGCATCTATTACTTGCCAAGATTCAGTTTTCAGGAGTTGAAAATTACGGAATTCTTTAATAAAATAGTGGAGACAGCTGCACCTTTACTTTTGATGACTTACCTTCTCCTCCCCGTTGCCTACATATCAGGTAAGTGGATTTTGTGGCTGAACAATGAATTATCTCTGGCTAGCTAGGTTCCCTCACAGATCATACTCAACATGTTAGTAACGTTAACTTTGAGAGACCAACCATTTTGGGTTGCAACACTGCCTATCATAATATACCTAAAATAAACCTAATTTTGAAAGACGATACACAGGAAATGGTAGTTAACAGTTTTCTTCATTATCTTCATTATCTACGTAATATCATAAACACTATTCTTGAACATATGCAGAAGCTTTAAAGGTAGTCTGCAACAAATTTGGGATAATACTCCGTTCCCCTATTTATATGAAAAATCACAGCACACAATAACCTATGGCTCATTATTACCAACTCATATTTTTTGAAGTTCACCTATAGGAAAACCTTCACTCCAGGATTGCCAAACCATTATCAAGGCATCAGAATTCCAATCAGTATCATAACTGAGTTTAACATATACATTTGAAAGCAGGAGCCACTAAGAGTTAAATTGATTAAAGAAATCCTGAAGGTAAGTGGCTTCCTGAACAACCTGCTTCTCCTATCCTTTACCCAGATGAACAGCTAGGCTCTGTGCAATGAATCTGATACCTTGGGCCGCGTGGTGGCCACAAGCCCTAGGGATTTGCTGTTAGCTGGGTGCGTACCCCCCAGCGACACTCCTTCAAGCATCAGTCTCAGCTACAGACCAATAGTACAGACTATACTTTGGGAAACCATGAAGCTAAAGACTCTTGCACTTACCAGACTTGCAGTAGTAATGTTAATCAAGTGAGGCTTATACCACAGACATAACACATTAAAGATTTTGATGTTGAAAAAAACCCAAATCCCTACAATCCTAAACGCTTTGCAACTCAACAGTTCCTCAGACATCACAAAGCT